TCTCCTCGTGGCCCACTGCTGCTGCTGCCCTCCCTGCTGTGCTGGAATGACGCTTCTGCTTTCCAGAGAGCTCGGCAAATCCTTTGCATTGGGGCTGGAAGAGCCAGAAGAGGGGCAGGGAGCTGGAGATACCCAGGATGAGTGCACCTTGCTAGCATGTGCCATTCACTTTGCTGGAGGAAAGGGTAAAGCCATAATCCAGCATAAAAATTATGTAAGAGGACTTCCCCCCTTCTCCTTGCAAACTGCCCCTCTGCTGAGGATTTACCATAATTCCTCCGAGTGGACAAGATACGCCACAGAGCCTGTGCTGATGTCTGATGGGGAGACAACTCCCTCAAGCCTTTTGCTCATGTGGAATAATTCCCTCGCAAATGTTGTTTGCCCACAGCGGTTAGAGAGAGATCCTCCCCCCGAAATGGGCCCAAGTGACGGCAGCCCGCCTCCTCCCTGCCAGCCCGTCCCCTGCTCTGTGACAGGTCCCTCTGAGCCTCCCAGGGCTATCTTCCAGGGTTCCTTTCCCTGTGTGGTGCCCCACTTCTGCCACAACAGCTCTTCCTTCCTCCTGCCATCCTCTGACAGATCTGCACCTTAAATCCTACTTGCCCGCAACTGGGATGTGCTGGGGCCAGCACATTTGGTTTCCCCCCGATGATACAAATGGTGGTCCTGAGGCATAGTTCTTTGGCCGTAGCCTCTGTCAAGCACAGCAGAGACCTGAGCTCACACATCTCTCTTGCTTAGGATGAGAGGCGGTGGCAGCAATGTGCTGGGCAGGCAGTGAGAGGAGGGGGCAGGATGCCCTGTGCACCATGTGTGTGTGCACGTGTTGGTTCATGCATCCATATGCAGACATACGTGCACGCTACCACTCACACAGTCTTCCCACCACAAGCAAAATCTGTTGGAGGCTTCCGCTCATTTTAGACTCAATTCTCTCCCCCTTTTCTCCCAAGCAGAGCTGCTCTCAGAGGCAACACTAGGAAAGGCTGTAAAGTTCCCCCATGCTGTATTTTTTGCCCTTTTCTCTTTAAAGTTCAGAATCCCAGGCTCAGCCTGCTGGATACAGCTTGGCACTTATTTTTGGGCATGCTAATGGTAGGGCAGCCTCCGCCTCATGTCAGCAGATATGTCCCTGAGCTCTGCCTGTGGAGTTGTACACGCACACACACATGCACCCACATGTATGCACAGTACCCCAAAGCACGTTTGCTGGATGCTGGATCTGTCACCTACCCAGTGCTAGTCTGAGAGAAGGTACATTCAGCTGCCCGCACTGAACTGGGCTAAAATCTACACAGTTGCCCTTCAGCTTCACGTTAACGACTCTGTGGCCCTCCCCAGGGAGGTTGGTTCCGAGAGGCAGCCCCACCGATCTCAGGTAGGCTGGGGAGGACGCGCGGCGGGGAGACGGCTCTACTTACAGGGACAGACGCTCCTCTGAGACACGGGGCTTTTCCAGCGCACCCTGGGCAATCCCAAAGCAAATCCAGCAGAACGTGCCTTTTCGCCCAGCAATCTCAGGGAGGGCTCTAGTTGGCACGGGCTCGGTGGCCAGAAGGCCAGCTGGCCGCACCACACGTGGGGCTGAGGAGCCGCGCACTCAGAGGGCAGCCTGGGGAGCGAGCTGTAATCCCCTGCGAGCAATAAACACAGGGAGAAAGAGCGAGCGGGAGGCGAGAGAAGCAGAGCGCAGGGCTGAGGGTACATCGGCAGCGGCAGCACGGGGACGCGCACCCGTGGTGCCGAGGCATCACTCAGCCGGTGGGCAGGGTCCGATCCGGATCAGTTGGAGGAAGGGACACGGGGGTTTTCCATCTCTCTCAGCCTATCCTGGGGGAAGAACCGTCGCTCGCCTTCAGCCTCACCATCTTCCTCTTGCCCCCTCACTCCTTTCCCTCCCCCAGTGCAAGGGGCCGAGGGGGGCAAGGAGGTGCCAGCTTGGGGGTGACGCAGATTGATGCGAGTCGAGAGGCTGCAAGAGGAGCTCTGAGCCGGGCTGCCTCCTCCCCGCCTCCTCTCGATGTGATGGCTGATCACAATGAGCCGGGGAGAAAGGCAGGCAAAGGGAAACCTGCTGTGTTGGCTATGCATACTATGGGGATGAGACACCCAGTGGGGGGGACACCAAGGGGCTCAGAGCGAGACCCCCTTCCATCAGTGCTGCGGAATGCAGGGTGTGCAGCTCAGGGACTTCGCCAGGCATGGCTGGGTACATCCCAGCCACTGTCACCCCTCCGTGCTGGGATGGAGCATGTCCTGGCCTCTGCTCCCAAGGGGGGCTTATAGGGAAAACTTGACAGGGGGACAGAAAATGGTTGTAGTGAGGGGAATAGTGAAAGAGGGGAGCACTGACACCCACAGTGTGCTCCCCTGGATTGGGGGCGTGGTGGGGAGCGGGTCAGACAGGATGGCACTCCGATTCTAGTGGGTGGCAGCTCTGCCCATGGCAGGGGGCTGGGACTGGATGGGCTCAAGGTCCCTTCCAATCCAAGCTGTTCTATGGTTCGTTCTGTGATTCTAAGTTGTGCTTTCCCCTGCCCAACCTGCTGGTGAAGGGGCACAGGAAGGACCCAAACCCAAGCCCCTGCCTTGTGGGATGTTCCGGGTATCCCACTGCACTCCCACACCCATCCTGCCAAAGCCAACCCCTGCTTGCTGGAAGCTCCAGCCGCTAATGTTTGCCAGGCTTTGCTGATCCACTTCTGTGTGATTTTGGCTTTTTGCTATTTTCAATGTATCTTGAAGTTATTTTTTACATAAATTTTTTAGCTGATTTTCTCAGACGTAATGGGGCAGCTCCTCTTCTGGCTTGGAGGTGGAGAATGGGAATATTTCAGAGATAGGGAGCGGGGAATACAGTGGGAAATAAAGGCTGCCCAGGCACATTCTTTCATTGGAAGTACAGTTTTTATTTAAGCATCAGAGCAGCCACCATGAAAACGGGTTCTGAATGGCAAGGTACATCTTGATAAGCGGTCCCTGGGATGTATCTCACAACTCTTTGTGGCGCCTCTTTGTGACGCGGCAGGCCGGAGAATTAAACCTTGAGAAAAGCTCCTTATGAGAGCAGCATATGGATGATCAAAGAGACAGGCTGGAGAAGGCAGACAGAACGAGAGACGGCAGAGGATGAGCTAATGAGGCAGACATGCTCGGTGAAGGAAGAAGCAGGTGGAGGGGAGGCTGTTCTCTCCGCACTGAACCAAGAAGCTGGTAACAGCGAGTGCTGGCCAGGCCTGCAGGTGGGAAGCTGCCTGCTGCAAGGTAGCTCCTCAGCGTGATGTAGCACCAGTGCGATATGCAAGCATGCAGCATGGCTTGTCCCTGGGTTTTGTTGCATTGCTGGGAAACTGGAGGCGCCCAGGTTATTTGTACATTGGTTGGAATAAAATGATTTGCCACGGTCCCTCCAAGGACTTCAAGGCTGTTGCTGAGCAGTGCACAAGGCCATTCGCAATTTCATGGCCTTGGATCTTTCACTCCTGCAGCACGCACTCTGCAACCAGACCAAAAAGGGCCCTTAGCCATGTTTCAGTGGGAGAAGAGGGTCTTGTTCTAGTCCTCTCCCTCTCAGCTGAGCTGTCTATCCACACCGGGGTGATGAGGAGAGGTGGTACCAGGCAGGAGCATGGGGCAGTCCTTCCGCCATGGCTTCCTTTGACGGGTGCTTTGCAGACAGGCAAACCTGACTGCAAATTCAGAAGGGGACAGACCCTGCGGCTCAGGCTCTGGATGTGCTGCTCCTGCCTTCTGGGCAGAGGCAGGGATGGCAACTAGGGGCTAAGGTCCCTCAGAAGAACACTTTGGGGATAGATGTTCCCACCAGCAAAAACATGAGCCACTCAGTGTGTCTGTGCCATGCAAGGTTAGCTGTGTTGGTGTCAACTCCTCTTTCAGTCTCATAAAACCTATAAGGCCTGGATAATGCTTGGTGGCACTGATGTGATCTGCTGTGATAAGGGGAATAGCTGTTTCCTGAGAAGCTATAAAAGAGAATGAGGAAACTCAAGTGAGAGCTGTGCCTTGTCTAGTTTGTGCAGTGCGGGACTTAGGGCTTAGGGCAGCTGTACAAAATCATTCTTTTCCCCCAGTCACTGGCAGTCAGAGCTGTTCTGCAGCAGGGTAAGGGGCATACACATGAATGGGATTCCATAATCTCTGCAAGCAGTGGGACTGTGACAGGAAGGGCTCTGACACTGCTACAGAAGGCAGAGCTGCCATGATATGGCTGTGACCCTGCTGGTGCCAGGCTTTGTGTGTGCTGCATGGAAATTACCACCACGATACTCTGGTTTTAATTCACACCCATCCAAATGAGAGCATCAGATCTCAGCATCAGAACAGCTGTGTTGTTCTGTCAGGGAGACCCTGCCTGGCTTCTTCCAGTGTGGGGCTGTGCCATGCTTCAGGAACATGGTGCTGGGAATAGAAGAGCAATTAAGCTGAGAAATTAGGGTGCACTTCATTAAGAAACACAAACTTCTTGGAGTGTGCACTGGGCTGGGCTGGGGTAACACTGCAGTACTACTCCACATGCTCTCCTCAAGGGGCATTAGTGGTTTTGTGCTTTTGAGGTGGCTTAAAAGCCGTTTCAATCACTGTTGTTTCCCCCTGAGAAAGGGGAGGTTCGCATCCCTTCTTCACGCTGCCCTACTTTTTGCTGATTGATACTGGGTTGTAAGGAGATGAGACAGGGAGGATCAGAGCAGTCCATTCCGGCTGGACAAACCCACAAAGGGCAGAGATGAAAGCGCACAGGCTCTCTCTGTGTTGTTTTTTTAGGGGGATGTTGTTTCAGTGGTGGTATTCTCAGTTTGTAGGTCGGCAGTATTCAGCAGGAGGGAGGTGTCAGTGCCTCAGTGTAGCAGCCAGCGTCCTCCTCAGCCCTACCTTGTTAAAGCCTTGACTCTCAACTGCAGTCTGTTTAGCACTCCTCTCCTAACTTAGTCTTTCTCTTTCTCACACGTTCCTCTTTTCCTCCTCCCTTATTCCCATAGCGGTGGGCGTGCAAATCAAGCTGGAGTTACTCCAACGCAAGTTCTGGATGGCCATGCAGCAGGTAGGAGCATCACTGAGCGTGCAGGCAAAGCAGTGCTCTTGGTCAGCTGGGCCAGGGCTGCAGTGCATCATGCACAGTGGTGGTATCTTCGTAAGGGCTGCAGTGAAATTCATATTAAAAGATTTTGAAAGTAGATTAGTTGGAAGCCACACGTTTCCCTAATCCTCTGACAGCACTAATGCCGCCTGAGCCCCAGGTCTGCTCCATAATCACTACGGTGATGGTGTCAGCATCCCAGCCCAGCATGAGCTCTGCTGCATATGACATTTAATTGTAGAAACATGTCTCTGCTCATCCTGCCTTTCAGAAACCTCACAGAAATCTGAAATTTCAGGAACGTGGGGGAAAAAAAATATTCTGTCCTCTTTTATCATCTTGATGATGGTAACAAAATGCTACGAGCTTGCCAAAATACAAATGATTTGCTGCAGGGATAAAGTTTCAGTGTTGTGCTCATTCTGAAGCCTTGCTGTGCCATGAGGAAGCTGTCCTCCTCTGAGGGGCAGAAGAGGGGAAACCCCATCCTACTAGCACCGGGGGCTTTCCTCATGGGTTTTGCCACTGGCAGGGACAACAGACTCTGGGCTGGAGCAGCATGCAGTGGACATGATCTTGGTGGTCAGCAGGGAAGAGTCAGAAGTTGAGGGCTGGGAAAACAGGGGGCTGGGAGGGTACTCAGGAGGCTGGGTAGCAGGAGGCAGAGGCACCCCATCTCTTGCAGACCATACCCTTGTGGCTCAAACACAAACATGGGCACAAGCCCATTTCAGCTGTTTGAAAATAGGGGTGCTTATGACAGAAGCTGAAAGGAGGCTTCTGTTCCAAGCACCTGTACAACATGGTTGTAGGAAAAATCCTGCCAGGCTTCCTGTGACCATAGACTGACATGGACAGTACTAACAGCTCTGTTTTCTCTCTCCTGCTGCCCTGGACACACTGCATCGGCTGCCCCCAGCCCAACGATACCGATGTAAGTAGGCGTTGGCTGGCATTGCTGAGTACACTGGGTGCCAGTGCATGAAGGTCATGGTGTGCAGGGGGTCTGAGGGTCATGACTTTCATGACTTTCATGACTAAGGGGGAGACGGCCCCAGTCTGTGTGTCCCGTATATGTGACCCCCAGGTGGTCACGCTGGCTCCTTATGGCTGTATTTCTCTGCTGTGCTGTGTAAAGACAGCAGTGAGGCTTTGCTTGCATCTGTGGGTGAAGCCACCTTCCCCACAGCCTCCTTGAGCTGCTTGGAGCTGTAGTGCAAACAATGTGACAATCACTGGCCCTCCCTCGAAACTGAGCAGAGGGATGGAAACCTGGAAATAGAGTTTGTTCTAAACTCAGGATGAGAAACAAATCCTACCTTGGAGTAATGGCTTTGTTGTATTTTGAAATTTGCTTCTTGGTATTGAGAATCATCCAGAAAGAGGCTGGGGCTTCTGCATAATAAGGGCTTTGCAGAGAGAAAGGGCAGTGGGGGGGGAGGGGGGAGCAGGCAGGCTGCAACACGTCAGCATCCTCCCCTGGCCCTGGAAGACCTCTGGCAGGAAGGGGACCCCATGTACAGAAATGGCAATGCCGTGTCAGCTTCCCTTTCTCAGTTGCTAGCACGAATAGCGTGAAAAATAACACAAAGAGACAGACATGGGCAGCCACCACCAACTCTGAACAATTACAGAATCAATAAGCACCTGAAGGGCTTTGTTACTCGCCACTTAACCCCTCGTGTCCCCACCCGGTTCAGTGTTGTGAAACACACGTCAAATCTAGTACACAGAAATCCTAAATGAAACAAATGGATGGTGCCCGGGGCTACACAACCACCATTCACATCCTATTTTATCATTAGCTGTCCTGAGAATAAAGAAACCAACAGCAATAACAACAACAACAAAAAAAAACCCCGCCTGAGAATAATCCCGATCTAAAATACCATGCCATGTATTTCCCAGCAGATGCTGAAATACGTGCTGTTTCCTTGCCAGCACACAGCAGCCTCTGCTAGCACAGCAGAGCTGGCTGCTGCCCCTTCCCTTACCAGCCCTGGCTCTGCTCTGGGCACAGAGTTCTGCTGAGAGCATGCTGGGGCAGCTAAGGGGACATTGCTCAATGGGGAGGCACAGCACAAGGACTGCACATGGCCATGGACTGACCGGCCTGAGGGTGCTTCTTGTCTTGTTCCAAATGCCAGCTGACCTGCAGAGCTTCATGAGATGCTGGTGTGGAGACCCTGTGCAGTCCCAAGGGGGAGTCTGGAAGATGAGATCACGTCTTGATGTAATTCCTGCTTTTTCTTTCCAGTGCAGTGCCTTCGATGGTGCCTGTCCGCTCAGCTGTCAGGACGATGTAAGTTGCCCAGATTTCCTCTCTGTATCTGCAATGGGAACTACTGATGGTCATGGAGGCCTCTATCTCTCCAGACATCAGGTGCTGCCTGCCATCTCACAAGAGGTTGCATAGCTAGGGTAGGACAGCTTAGATATTCCCTTGACTTAGATGTTCTCCTAGTAGTGACATCAACTGAGATGTCAGCCCTGCCCGCAGCAAGGGATTGGGGCCAGATGATCTTTAAGGTCCATTCCAAGCTAGGCCATGCTATGATTCTATGCCAGCTGAGCCCACCAGGGACACCTGGTCTCTAGCCATCCATCTCTTCTAAGGCAGTCCCACCAGTGTCACCAGCCTGCCAGAGAGAGAGGCTAGCAGTATGACAGTATGTGCTGGACTGTTCTCTTTGCATTTATGCCACTGCTTTGCATGTCTCAGCATACTGAGGACACGATATTGTGCCCAGGAGAGTGGAATCACCACAGTTATCTTCCCGTGTTCATCTAGGACTATGATTTTTGGAGCCCCGTGCCTCCATTTCCTACTTTGCAAAGTAAAAATGATAAAAGCAGCACAGGTACTAAGTGGTGAGGAGAGGGTTATTTAATGAGTGGTTATAAAATATGAATTATGGAGATGGAAAACAGTAGAAGAGGGATACCCTCCAGATATCCTGTCAATGCCTACAGGATGTATCATCTCTTTAAGAGTGGTTCAAACTGTGTTAGCCCTACATACAGCCATAGCATGACAGCATCTCTGCCACAAGCTGAATACCTCAAAATGGGTAAGCAGAGGGAAGTCAGTGCTCCAAAGCCTGTGTTAGCTGTGTTATGGGGCAAGGCATGGCAGTGTTGGGGCTGAGCCCACACACTTCACTCTGTGGAAGCCAGCACAGCACTGTCTCTGATGTCACTTCTCTTTCATCTCCGCAGGTTCTGAATTGCTTCCTCATTGATAATAATGGCTTTATCCTTGTTTCCAAAAGACCTCCAGAGGTAAGAGTACATAAGAGAAGGAGGGGAGGGTGCATGGTGTGCTCACTGAACACCAGTGAAGCCCAACAAGGGCTATGAGGGTGGCCAGGTTGTGGTGACACTTGGCTGTGTGGTGAAGGGACAACACATCCCAGGTAAGGCAGGAGTTTGTGATGATAAGGAAGGAACCGGTCATGTCATCCTTTTGTTTCCTTTTCTCCTGTGGATGTGACTGGGACAAGCAATACGTCTATGATAGAAGAAAACATGTCTTAGCAGCTATAGTTCTTTGCAAGTGTTGGCAAAACAGTAGTAGGGGAGGATGAATGGCAGACTGCATTTCAGTTTCTCACAAAGCCTGTAGCAGAGTATCTCATAAGAGGCTGTTCAAGAAGTTGTAGTTTGAAAGTGGAGCATGAGGTAGTGTCATTCATCTCAAAGCAGCTGGGACAGAAAAGAAAAAGGAGGAATAAAACAGGATTTTGGTAATAAAAATTTGTGTGTCCCATAATTTTCCATCTGGAGTCATCTTGGTTACCACGCTCGTAATAGGCTGGCAAAAGAAAAAAGTGAGATTGTGAATCCAGCAGACAATACACAATAATTTCAAAGAAGCCAAAATGAGGGCTGCTGGGACTCACAAAACAAAGTGAATCTGCACCACTGTATCACCAGGGGGTGATACAGACAGATATAAAGATATAAAGAGGGCACACTGCAAAGAAAAACCAGCCTCTTTTCTGTCAGGACAGTGACCTACCTGGCACAGTGACTATTTCAGTAAAGGTCCCTGTTCAACTACTTGTTTTGCCAAAAATAAAACAAAGAAAACTTGAACAATAAAGAAAATACTGCTTGTTCCAGTTACTGTGCTTGTTTCCCAGCATAACCATGAGCATACACACTCTTAAACCCCAAAGAGAATTCAAGACAGCAGTAGCATTAAATCAGTATCTGTGCTTCTTAGCCTTGCTAGCTGAATGATGCTCACTTGGTGCTCTGCAGCCCCTCTGTCCCATCCCACGCCCTGCCCTGTGGAGATCCTTTGGGCCCCTGTAACCACTGCCTGAAGCTTATCAACAGCCAGATCACAGAAAAAAAGAAGTACCAGAGGTGACATTTTGTGCTGTGAACCTCTGAAATCGCCAGGACATGTGGAAACCCAGAGCCGGGAATAAGGACAAACATGGCAGAGGGATTCTTAGGGGAGCCCCATCTGTGGTCCTGCAGCGGCCCTCTGCCCTTGTCACAGCAAGGAGTGAGAAAAGCTATTTCATGCTCAGACACCTTCGACATCAGGGATGATTAAAATCCAAGTGCTCAAAGGGGAGTTGATGTTACATACTTACTTGCATAGTGAAACATCTTTTAAAGCTTGTTGGGAAGATAGTATCTTCCCATAACCATGTAGATGATTACCATATGATCTTAGGTAAATTTATATACGGAATCTATTTAAGATTTGCTTGTTTGTTTTTGGAAATGCCCAGCTCAAAAAAATGGAGTAATCTGTCATCTGCTAGTGCTTTCTAAATAACTAGGGGCCTATCAAAGAAAAGTAAGAGGAAAAGTAAGATGTCCCCTCAAACTGCAGGGATGACTCCATTGTAGATGGGAGCTACTTGTTATGTCAAACTCCATGAGTCAGGAAGAGACAAAGGACAGCACATTTCTTCAGTATCATTATGAGTATTTTATTTTCTTGCTTGCAAGCAGTGAGCTTGGCAGATTCTGAGCAATTTTTGAATGGATTTGTCATGATTTAGTAATCAAGAAAGCCAGAATTGTTCTTTATGTGAAATCTCTAGAGCAGCAGTTCTCAGGTCTGGGGTTGAGATATTTGAGGTCGTTGACATCAAAACATAAATGGGACCAGAAGACCACAAAGTCCACATTTAATCCAGGCATGCCAGTGGGATCTGGGGACTGTTAACTGGGCTGGTGGTAGGGGAAGTCCTCACCAGCTGAAGGTCAAAGCTCAGCACTGCCTTCTTACAGGCATGTGTGGTGTGTAGTGCACCTCCAGACAGTCTAGGTTAGCTGTAGCAGGAAAGAAATTTTACTCTAGACATGGAAATTTTACTCTTGATAGCTTATGCCATTTTTTCCCCTTTCTTGTGCTTGCAGATTGGAAAATTCCTTGGTGCAGTGGATGGCTCAGTAATGACCCAGCTACTGAACATGGGCATGTTCAGACGGTAAGCGGGGGTCCCTGCTTCATGCTTATCCTTGCTCAGCTGATGTGTGGGGCAGAGCACGTTAGGCTCAGCAAGCAGTCCTACTCAGCAGTGCAGGATGACTGAATAGGCATCTGTGGCTCTTTGCTACCAGAGCAACTTCAGCTGCCCACATCCTCCCCTGACAGGCTCCGCCATTGTCACCCCACAGCATGTTTCTCCTCCTCTCTGTTCCTCCTACGGCTTGACGCACTGAGATGTACAACGCCAGTCTTAGTGTTGCCAGAGAACAGCTGCTCTCTGCCTTTTTCAGGGCACAGTACTATGGAAATGCACCCTGGCATTTGAGGTGAAAGCACTTCATTTTCTCCCACCACTTGGAAGGCCTTTCCATGAGAGATGGAATGAGGGGTCTCAGAGGCGGCACTGCATTTGTCTGAGAACATTCCTTCCCTTATAAAATCTTTTATAAAATCTCTCTGACCACCTCTCTCCATTCTCCCAGCACATTTCAAAAGAAAACTCAGATATTCAGTGACATGAAAGCAGGAAGTGGGGGAACTTACGGAATACACAATTATAATTCTCCAGCTTCAGATTCTGCTTTACTCATCACCTGTAATTAGGGATGCATTGCTTCCCATACTGACCCAGTTACATTAATCCAAGTCCCATATTTCTCCTTTTTCAAAGTCCAGCACTGACCTAACAGCAAAGACATATTTAAGCAGGCCACTGCTTTAATTCTTCCACACAGAAGCATTTTTGTAGAATGGGACCCAGGTAGGATAAAGTAGCATAGGCTGCCATGAGTGGCCCATAGTCGGTTGTGTTGCTTGCTCTTCACTGCCTGCTTATTTTGTTTTAATTGCAGGGTGACAATGTATGACTACCAAGCAATGTGCAAGGTGCCCTACCACCACCACAGTGGTGCCCGGCCGCTGCTCAGTGTACGTATCCCACTGCACACAGGGATTGTCTGTGGAGGCTTTTTCCTTGGGCATCTCCGACAAAGTGGTGTAGCACATGTAGTGTAGCACATTGCCCAGAAGAGCTTAAGGGCCATTTACTTCCAAGTGCTGGGAAGATCTAGACTCATCTGAGACAAGTTTCTGAGGCAGTAATGGCCACTGACAGTGGTTTCTAATTTGACTATTGGCATGTAGGACCCTACTGACGATTGGAAGAAACAGGAAGGGAGCAGGAACCAGACTATACCAGCTTGCAGCTGAAATGAACAGAAATGCTTTCACAGGACGTGTTTTCATTCAGCAGTCCCAAAGGGAGAGTACCCCTGACAGTGAACAGAGCATCAGAGAGGCAAAGTTGTCAGCCTTTCAGGTGAAGCGTGAGTGGGCTGGGAGTAACAGAAAGAAGGGTCAAAGCTGCTGAGAAGAGCTGACAGCCCAGAGAATAAACTGTCAGAGGTTGCAACCTCTCTTTAATCTGATACAACAGATAACATAATTCCTCTCTACCTTTCTAGCAGCCTTGACCAGGCAGAACTAAGCGTTAATCAATACTCAATCCAATTCGAATTAGCTAAAGTAACCCTAAACAGAGATATATTTATTATTGATATGATGATTTGACTGTTGAAAGTGTGGTATGCTGGAAGTACATCTAATGGCATAACACTGTCATTTTTTTTTCTAGTAAAATAATTTTCAACAAAGTATTCATTTTAATAGCTATACTGAAACTGGATAGATAAAATATTGTGATTGTACTGAAAATATTTGCTTGATTGAGAATTGAAAAAAATGTCAAAATATATCAGCTGCCAAAAGTAGGTGAACTGAGAAGAGAACAAAAGAATCAACCTCCAAATTCCATCTCTCCTTTTGTCCCTGTAGCAAAATCCTCAGAAAGGAAGAAAGAAAAGTCCATTTATAGATATATATATAGTTCGAAGGAAAAAAATCAGTCAAATCTCCAATCATTTTACTACTTGCTGACATATCTTGCTTGAAGATAAGCCAATTAGCAGTAATTAAACATTCTCTCATGTCCAATGACTGTTGCATGTTTTGGGTTCCAGGACATGAGTGTAAGTTGGAGAGGGAGAAATGAAGCTTAAACATGGTTACTTACCCCGAAGTGAAGAACCAGCAGGATCCTCTGCAGAATAATTGGCCCTGGGATGATGCTGGATTTTCAGTTCATAGCAGAACAGATGGAAGACAGTACAAGTCATGCCATCTTGAGGAAAGGCTGCATGAAATCACAGTTAAACTTAATCAATAGCAGATAACACCAACTCCTGGACAATGCTGTAGCTTGTCCCAGAAACACCACTTGCAATTGGAATATAAAAGCTTCCTAGAATGGTGGTGCCCCATTTAGCTATATTTCTCTCCTGCTCTGAGCTTTCAAGGTCATCCATACTGGAGAGAAATCATCAAGCAATTACATCTTCAAAGTCCTTCACACATCTGTGATAAACTCCCTGACCCTGACTGGGAGGGGTGAGAAGATATTATTAGCAGCAAGGCAGTTGCTGCTTCTGATGTATTTGAGTGTTTTCCAGTGATGCCCAGACCTTGAATTTCCAACCTTCAGGAGCTCTGAGCAATGGAGGGAATTGATCTGAAACATGGGGTCCTGCATAACAACTGTATACTCTCTGACCAGGTCCTTATAGTGTGTCTCATTTCTTCTTTTGTTCTCTAGCCAATTTATGCCTTTCTAGCTGCACTGAAATGGCTGATAAGTGATTTCCTCATGTGAGTACAAAAAGATGCGGGTATTTGGGAGGCTCAGACTAGCCGGGGTGAGAGCTGAGAGGACTGTGAGCAGAGGCTATGCATAGGACATTGCTGTCAGCCTTTTTGTGACGTTCAGCCTGGTGCATTGCTCCCGGGAGGCAGAAAGCTATTACTAATTCCCATTTCACAGAGGCAGAGGCAGAGGCCCTGAGCAGGTCTGGGATTTACCTGAAGTCACTCAGTACAAAGCGGCAAAGTCAGAAATAGGACTTGGGTCTCTGGAGGCCCTGCAGGTCCTTGATGCTAAGTCCTCCTCCCTGTCTCACTCTCCTATGATAAGTGATTCCCCCACGGGGTGAGGGAGGCCAGAAGGAAGCAGGAAGCTCCCATCTGAGTGGCAGGTGAGGGAGAAGAGAGGGGTCTTGTGTCAAGCTCTGAATCAGGCATACTTCACACCACAGAAGGAATAAAAATTAAAGCTCAAATCAGGATCAAGCTCAGATTAAGACCAGAGCTGCTCAGCTTTCTGAGCCCAGGCTGAAACAATGATTGTGAACATCCCAACTCTAGAGGCAGCAATGATCCAGGTGCTGGGCCTTCAGCCTGTTGGCACAGCACAGTTCAACATGGTTTGTGGCTAAAGTCTGTGTCACCACAGTGCTGGCTCCCCGCAAGCCACCTGTGCCCCTCTGGGGCTGCCACTTTCAGCCCTTCACCAGTAGGTCCCTGAACAGTATATCCTTCAGGGAAAGCCCACTCAGTTATTCCACCGTATAGATCCCACAGTACAGATCTACACACCATAAATAAACAAATAAATAAACCTAACAAACAGACAAACAAATTAAAAAATTCAGACTTGCACTGCCAGGAAACTTGCAGTACACTTGTTAGAGGTGATGCACACTGGGCCGCAGGGCCATCTCTTGCATCCTTAATGACATCCTTGATGACTGACCCTTACATCCTTCCAGGCTGCTGAAAAAGCATCCCCTGTTCTTGCTCTTTTGACAGCTTCCTGTTGGAGTTTAACATGAGTAGCTTCTGGCACTCTGACAATGTGGCAGACGGTGAGTATGCGGCAGTCCAGCCACCCCATAGCAAGTGAGTGTCACCACTGCTGGTGGCAGCAGTAGCTGTATGGAGAAGCCAAGCCTCATGGAAGAACACACCATCCCATCACATTTCCCTTTGCAGACACTGGAAGCCAGCTTCTAGGTCTCAGCACCACCCTGTTTCCCTCCCACCCCCATCTCAGCCTGCCCAAGCTCAAGGAAAAGTCTGTGCAGCTCACAGATTTCTTTCCTCAGTGTTTTTGCAAGGAGAAAGGGAGGCTTTTCCTTCCAAGCACCCCGCCCTGCATGCATGTCTATCAGCCAAAAAGTCCTCCAGTTGGAAGGGTTTCCTGTCTTTCATAGTGATGGCTCACAGGATGGGACACAGTGATGCTGCATCAGCAGGCTCTGCGGAACTAGCAGGAAAGCCTGTAAGATTCAACCAAGAACAAGCTTCTTTGCATCCTTTGATTCAACCATGCTGTGGGATTCTCTGTTGAGTCATCCTGCGTGGATCAAACAACGCACTGAGAGTCTTTGCTTTCCCACTGGCTTTAGAAGCTGGTGGCACCTGGCACCACACAGCAGCTGTGTGCAGCAGAGGAAGCAGAGAGGTGTGGGTTAGGGGTCTAGGTTGAGATCCACTGACTTGCCCTGTAGCTACTATGCTGCCTGCTCAGAGTGTTCTGGAAGCCTCTGTCATCCCATCCCTGCAGGCAGGGAATGTCAGTGGCCCCAAGGTAGCCCTAAAGGACAGGCAAGATCTACACTCCTGTATGTAGCAGTGTAGATGCCATCGCTGCTTCCTTACAGACTGTCAGCACTAGTGGTGCTTTGGGTGATGACAGAGGAACATTCCCTGCTAGCTGTGGGACTTTCCTGGTCTTAACAAGGTAACATTCATTTTCAGAGAGCAAATTGCCCTTCTAGTCAGAGAACCAGCCCAGCATCTGGGTGCTGTCAGTCCCACTTACCTCTTCCAAAGGGGATCTCCAGACACAGCAGTAGAAGTTACAGTTTTCCTCTGTGAGGCGCTGATGGATGCTGTTTAACTTGCATGGAGTGTCCTCCTGCAGAAATCAGTGGGAAAGAGTCAGATGAGCAAGTACAAGATTTCTTATAGTGACGTTATGAATGGTAAATGGCTGCAACTTTATTTAATTTTTGTTTGAGGATGTCTGAGGGGGAAGGGAGAAGGTTCTTGCTGCTGCACTACTCATCACCATTTCATTTTGTGCTTTCTTCAACTCTCCTATATCATCTCCATGCCTGCTATGTGCAAACTCATCTCCATTGTGCTGCCATCATGTGAACCTGTCTCATGGCTCCATCTTCACTGTTTGTGTGCATGCCACTCATCCAGCCAAGGCTGTCTTCCATCACTGTAAGTAGAACCAGTGAGTAGCAAAAAAGAGGAGGATCTAGCTAGAAATCCCAGGCTAGAAATGACAATTTTCCCCTTTTTGGACAACAGGGAATTTGCAGAAGGATGTCACGGTGGTGTGGCAGTGCCTGGCTATTTCCCTCCACTCCTCGTTTAGCTGGCTGAGCTGGGAAGGGACACACCAGCCTGCTCAGTAACTGCAGGCACAAATGAAACCATCACATAATGACTGTAGAACAGATGGGCCCTTAGCTGCTGTGATGTGGTTTGTCCCTCACTATGTCTCCCAGCAGCCCCTGTCTTTTCAGGTGTTGCACCAAAATCAATGCCTTGTGTGGGTCCCATAGTCTTCACATATTAAGAAGCATTTAAGTCTCCTTTTCCACACCCCACGGTTTAGCTCCTTCTGATGAATAACAGCCCAGCCCCAGGGTAATGCAGAATTACATTCAAGCAGTTTAACTGATAAGTATATGCTCTAGCTCATAAATCCACTCCAGCAGGAAAGCTGGAAATCCCTCCAGACAGAGTCCAGACTGTGGCTGTGTTTGTATCTCACTGCTTCCATACCTGGCTCATGTTTGCCGGTTTGCGCTCTGCCCTGCAAGACGTATGTGTGAGACAGAGATAGAGAAATAGAGACAGTTGGAATGTGCCTCATGCGTGAAGAAAAGGAAGAGCAGGGGAGTGTGGCTGATGAGAAACTGAGGGTCCGTGCACGGGGGAGGGAGTGGCAGGGTGAAAGGAAACCACTGGAGCTGGAAGGAATGGGTTGCACATGTTGTTAGGAACGGGCTGAAGATTTTTGCCAGGGATGTTAACATTTTCTTGACTGCCTGCCAAAGCTGGTGAATGCAAAGCGTATGTAGAGAAGGAGACATTTTGTGGGAGAGAAACTGAGTACACGTGAATTCAGGGATACGTACGGAGGAATTAATGTTAGGGGATCTAATAATGCACATCCCTGCTCAGTGTGCACTGATCCTATTTCTGCTTCCCAAATTCTTGTGCTTTCTGGGAAGGCAAGGCTTGCCACTGGAGTATGGGCATGATTGATTCAGACTGCACTCCTTGTGCAAATCTGCTTCCCAGAGATGGTGAAAAGACATTTTTGCTTCCACAGATTTCTCAGTGCTCTCAGCATCTCCCTCCCCTCTCTGTCAGTAAGGGCTTCTGCTTTTATGGACAACAGTGCAGATTTGAAGGCCTTTAATTAAGCCACAGATACTCCCAGCCAAGACACGCAGCCTAAGAAAGAATATTTCTAGAATTCTGGAGCTCAGAAAAGTTCCTTTCTGACTGCAAGATAATGTACTCAGAGGATATTTTACAAGCTCATCAGTTAAATTCTGTGTTTTGTATTTGTATCTAAGCAGCAGATTTTGTCTCATTTGTACCAGAGTAAATCCACTGACATGGGCGCAGACATTCGTGACGTATGCTGGTGGCAAAGGGCTCACAATCTGGGCTGCACAGTTCGCAGCAAGGAGCAGGGCCGCCTTTGCTATTCAGAAGGATTGGTTGCCAACTGCCTGACAAAGTCTTTCTGGAAGTGCAGATGGCAGCAATGACAGCCGGGAATTAACTCACGCTTTGCTATAAAGTTTGCAATTTGTTATCAGCTCCTCCAACTGTTTACTAAGCCCTGACCGCCAGGCTCTCAGAGCTGCTGATAGCGTTTTGATGTTCAGTGTGTGCACGCAGAGGCTCAGTCCCAGCGTGCTGCTGATGCTGCACATGCTGCTGGGCCCTCTGAGATTCAGAACACTGCTGCAGCTGCATTGCTTCCAGGCAAATTAAGTGGCAGTAGGCTTAAGCATAATCTCTGTCTCAGGTCTTGTCTTGGTTCAGAAGTCAGAGATTGTAAAGTTGCTTGTTTTCATTTAGCCCATGCCACAAGGCTGATCTAAGACAGCCTGTGCAGGAGCTTTAAAGTACATCTTAGTGCATGTGACAAGGTTAACCCAGAGCAAGGCAACTGTGGATGCCCATGAAAGGTTGTGGGCAGAAATGTTAGCAACCAGCCCATACTGCCAGGGCTGAATTGCTCTTGCAGGGGCCAGTCCTGCAGTACTTTCCATCACTTACCTCTGGTCTGGTTTGGGAGCTGCATCAGAGCTTGGGTAGACGTGTGCCTGTAAACAGTGCTGGGCTGGCTGAGGCTCCAGGTATGTTCTTGGTGTTGGTTTAGCTGCCTTTCCTAGTAAGGCCCTGTTCTCCAAACCCACCAACTCCAGCACAACGACCCTGATTATTCATCACTACTTCTATCCTGTATTTTGTAAGCCTGGGTCTGATTCACCCCCTACCTGTGCTCCATCCTTCACACCACTGTTTTCGTATTGCTTTAACTCCATCCACTTCAACGACACTGCACCAACAAGCTGAAGCTAGTGGAGAATGAATTGCTTTGCTGGGGATATAGGAAAAATGAGGACCTGGATAAAATCTCTGTTTTGTCAGGACCATGACATGAGCAGCATGATAAATTCTTGCAGGCAGTTGTGCAACACCTGTGGGGCTGAGGGGTCAGGCCAATTCTCTTTAATGTTTCCATAAATTACGTGGACACAGGACTTTAAGGTATACTAAGTAAGTTTGCAGACAACTCTAATACGGAGGAGCTGTTGACTCCCTCGAGGGCAGAGAGGACTTGCAGAGAGATCCTGACAAATTAAAGGGCTGGGAAATTACCAACTGTGTGAAGTTTAACGAGATCAAGTACTGGAATCAGCCCCTGGATATATGTACAGAGTGGGGGACAAGAGGTAGGAGAGCTGCCCTGCGAAAAGGAATTGGGGGTTCTGATTGATGGCAAGTTAAACACAAGTCAGCAGTGTGCCCTGGCAGCCCAAAGGGCCAACCATGTCCTGGGGTGCATCAGGGCCAGTACTGCAGCCAGGCAAGGGAAGGGGCTGTCCCATTCTGCTCTGTGCATGTGGCTTCACTTCAAGCTCTGTGTGCAGGTTTCGGTGCCACAACATAAGAAGGACATAAAACTATGAGAGCATCCGGAGGAGGGCTGTGAAGATGGTGAGGGGTGTGCAGGGCAAGGTGTGTGAGGAGCAGCTTGGGGGTTAGGGACACGTTCTTCACCAGAGGGAGATGGGCATGGAACAGGCTGCGCAGGGGAAGCTGTCACAGATGTGGGGTCTTGGCACATACGTTCCCAAAGAGGTGTGTGCCTGTGATAGTCTGGCCACGGGATATGGAATTAGATATTTTCCAAGCCACTAGTATGGCAAATGAAGTCTGAAGGAAAGGGTTCCTGCTCCATTCTTCCCTCTCTGTTAGTCCTTCAGGGATTTCGCTGGCTAGTTTATGGTCACCTGCTTTGTAGCTGCTCTGTGCTGGAAAGTGCTAGTAGCTTTTGTCATCAAAGCACAAATGGAGATATTATCAAGGGTGCTGAATACTGATGCTGAATTCAAGTCCTGTCTGCTTCTGGATCTGTAAAAAAAAAGAAACCCAAACATGCTACTGAGAGGCATCATAGCCTGGAAGGATTTCAGTGGGAGGTGAGAGCTCAGGTGAAGAGCACAAGGTGCAGCTGTGGGGGATCTGTGTCGCAGGGAAGCATTTAAATCTTTGTTGTATGCTCGGAGCCCTTTGTATAACACTGCGTGCCCGGGACCAGGCGGGACACGAGGCCTCGGTGAGGACAGCAGGCTGGCAGCACTGTAGCCTCTCGCCCTGCTCTGCGCAGGGCCAGACGGTGTGAGCCGTAGAGCAGCCCTGCACACGCTGGTTTTCCCGCACCACCTAGTGGGAGCCGGGATGGCTGCAGTGCTCAGCTGCTGCTCCTCGGGTAGGCTATGGGCAGAACGGGACAGGCCTTGATGGAGCCCTAGTTTATAGAATCATTCAGGTTATAAAAGACCACTAAGATCATCCAGTCCAACCACCAGCCCATCCCCACCGTGCCCACGGCACCTCATATCACAGTGCAGACCTCTCCTTTGTGTTCCTCTGACGTTGCCTGTTCTCTCCCTCCTCCCCACGCAGCCCACAGGCACAAGAAGCACGACACACTGCAGCCCTGCGACACAGAGTACCCCGTGTTCGTGTACGAGCCGACCATCAAGGAAACCAACGGGCTGATCGAGTGCGGGGACTGCCAAAAGTAAGAGCTACAGCTGTCCTTCAGCGCCCGTGCCCAAGCAGTGCCAGCACTGCAGCCTGGTGGCAGTGGGAATGGTGACAACCTGAGAAGAGCCACTCGCCACCGTGCCCAGCACATGTCCCGTGCTGTGTGTGCAGCGAGCGCGTCCCCAGAGAGGGGAATGGCCCCGCTGCAACTTCTTGATAAAGAGAAGAATCAGAGCCATTGTTAATAAGCAGAGGTGTCAGGAGGAGGAGGGAGAGAGCATTCAAAAAAAAAAAAAAGGTCTCTTTCCATTCTGCAAATTTCAGAAAGGAACCCTCTGTTTTTTCACGTTTCTGGCAAATGTTTTCTCCTTAAAATTTTCCTTTTTGCAGTGCTTTCAGCTTTCCTTTCCGCTTTTCATTCTCCCTTTTTTCTGTTTTTCTACCAAAAAAAAAAAAAAAGAAAGAAAAGGAGGGATTAGGAGAAAAAAAGAAGTGTTAAACCAAAAGAAAGCAAAACACGGGTACACATTTTAATTTCTGTTTTCATTTTAAGCGAATGAGCAGTCAAAAATAACAGAAAGGCATTGTGAGAAGAGCCATTTTCAGCAGTCACATGGCACCCTCAGCACTCACGTGTAGAAAGGTGAAGAGAGGATGAATTTCCACTGGCCTAGCTTTTCCTAATGTGCTGTTGCACAGACCCACAGAGGCCAAAGAGATCTGACTGGAATCCCTCGTAAAGCAAAGCAAAGCCCTACCTGGTCTGGCTTCAGTCTTGGACTAGCTGCAGGAAAGAATTAAAGGTCAGGAAAACAGCCTGTGCTAGTCAGCACGGCTTGATGAAGAACAGGCTGTGCCACGCATTGCCTGAGCTCAGAGCATGGATTTGCTGACAAAGGTTGTAGGGGGAGTTCTGTAAGGCACAGACCAGCACCTTGCCCCATGGGGATGCAGCATGCCTTGCCTGATGCTCAGCACTGCAGCAGCAAGCCAGGCTCTGCTCTGTTCCTGTATGGTTATAGGTGCGGGCTGGGGTCATAGCCCTGGAGCTGGGTGTGCCTGTTGCACCTTTCATGCAGATGTTCAAGGGGAATGAGAGCCCCAGCGTGGGCTCTGTGGAGTGTTAGCTGATGACCTGCTCAGACACACAGGCCTTCCCGGTGCCTCTTAGAAATTCCAGATGGTTCCCAGTGCAGGGAGAAGCTGGGCACTGCTTCGTTCTGGGCACCTCCATTGTGATGGCAGGGTTAAAATCTGCCTGTCCGACCTCCTGGAGCAGTCATCACTCAGGAAGGAACAAAACAGCCTCAGCAAGTGGCAGCGTGTGACATTCAGCACCTCTAGAAACAAATATGAAGTTCCCTGAAGGCAAGAAGCAGACAATGGGCAGTGAGCTGTCAGGGAAATTGGTTCTTCAGAGCAGTTGAGTCGATCAGGGCATCCTCACAAACTTGTATGCCCACAGCCCGACCCAGAAGCCCTCTGCCTCAGCCAAGAGGAGGAACAGAAGTGGCACAGATGAGGCATGGGGTGGGAGGTGATGCAAACTGGTGAGTTGGCACTATGCAGCCACAGGTACACACAGCCTCCTATGTGCAGAGCCATTTCTGAGCTGCCCAGGTACGTGCACGTGTGTGCACACTCATGCACAGTCACACACACACGTGCATGCTCTGCCCACATCAGCCCTCCAGCTCCTGCACAGCCTACACTCCCTCATGCAGGTCCTCACGTGGGTGTTGTCACGCAAAGACTTGCATCTGGGCTCATCCTTATTTGCATGTGCCCATGCTCACCCCTGGACCTTTCTGCTCATCCCTCAGGGAAGGGAAGGGACAGACAGACTCAAAGCTGCAAGAAGATGAAGCACTCACGATGTTACTGGGATTCTTCATGGCTCACTCAAGTAATGTGATGTTCAGAACTCTGCCCCTTGAGGACCACAGAGCACACAGTCCCTCTTGTTGTTTGGGCACAAATACAGATTGGCTGAGTTGCCAGCCACCTCCTGATGAAGCTGGGCCTTCCAGCTATGCTCCTCTGAGCTACGCTGCCCAGTTTCATGCTGCCTCCATGTGCCTGAGGAGTGGGTCTGCTCGGAGTTGGTTTTTGGTCATTTGGGTTCTGCTTCTGATTTTGGCTTTTGCGCCCTGTGGAGCTGTGCTTCTGAGCTGGCTGGGCACTTCTCCGTAGCAAGGTGTACTCCTCACTCCTTCCCCGCCTTCTGCTGCTTCCCTTTCCAGAGCTGCTTGCTTTCCTTTGGGTTTGTTTGCACCAGGCAGTGGTGGTGCCATGCAGGGTCTGGCTGCCATTTCTCCATCTCTCTCTTTTCTTCGCAGAATGTTTGTGGCCCAGCAGATTGCCAGCAGCAACCTGCTGCTTCTTGTGACAGATGCCACCTGCGACTGCAGCATCTTCCCACCTGTCCTGCTGGATGCGAAAGAAGTCAAATATATCCTTCTGCTGTGTGCTTTTGGGCTCAGGGCTGGTGAGGGTGGAAAACCTGCTCCCTTGGCAGTTCCTATGGGGAAAAGTGTGGAGTGCACAGCCTGCCTGTGGGATAGCAGGAGGCAGGGAAACGGAACAGTGTGGTGGAGAAAGCAGCGCTGCTGCTGGGCCTCCTGCATACATTTCTGCCATTCCCAGCCATTGGTCATTCCTCGTCTTCTTCTGGCTCCTGGAGGCCTCCCAGCCCATGCCCCTGCAACATGCAGCTGGGAGGCTGCTGCCCTTCCCTGACCTACCCTGCTCGGACCCAAGGCCATGCAGAAGCACCCATAGGTTTGCACCCCGTCGCTGTGTGCTGCAATTGTGCCTCATCTCTCTGCCTGTGTCCTTAACAGCCCTGCACACAACGCATCGGTGAAGTGTGACCGCATGCGCTCCCAGAAGCTGAGGCGGCGACCAGACACGTGCCACGCGTTTCACCCCGAGGTATGGCTGTGGGTATACCCCGAGGTGTGACTGAACAACCCCAGCTCCCTCAGCCTCATCATAACACTTGTGCTCCAGACCCCTCGTGGCTCCATTGCCCTTCTCTGAGCACACTCCAGGGCCTCAATGTCCTCCTTGCACTGAGGGGCCAGAACCGAACACAGTTCAGCCGACCCTGTGGGGACATCCTGGTGACACGCGGGATGGCGGTGTGCCCTGGGAGCCACAGGGCTCTGCCAGGCAGATCTTGCCTTAGGATGGGGATGGGGATGCACTTGAGGTGCAGCCCCACCAGCGCTGAGTGCAGAGGGATGATCGCCTCCCTGCTCCTGCGGGCTGCACTGTTTCTGATACAAGCCAGGATGCCACTGGCTGCCTTGGTTACCTGGGCACATTGCTGGCTCATGTTCCGCTGCTGTCAACCACCATCATAAAATCATAGAATTGTAGCGGTTGGAAGGGACCTCTAGAGATCATGTAGTCCAACGCCCCTGGCAAAGCAGGCTCCTGTGCACATTTCCAGCCACTCTGCTCCATGCCTGTAGGATTGCATGGGGTTGCTGTGACCAAAGTGAAGGAGCTGGCACTCGGCATTGCTGAATCTGATACAGTTGACCTCAGCCCAGCGATCCAGACTGTCCAGATCCCTCTGTAGGTCCTTCCTACCCTGAGGGTGGGCTTTGTGCATCCCACTGGCTGTGGCTTCCCAGGAGGCTTCCTCATGGGGAGAGAACATACTGGGGATGGGCTCCCTTTCCTCCCCCAGTGCCAGCAGGGCCCGCTAAATGCCTTCTTTTGATCCTCCAGGAGAACGCCCAGGACTGTGGTGGTGCTTCTGAGCTCTCAGTCTCCCCCATGCTGCTCCTCCTGCCCCCAGCACTGCTCGTGCGGTGACACTGCTCCCAATGGGGACGCGGCGAGGGACAAACTGCCGACCCTGTGGGGACATCCTGGTGACACCGGGGATGGCGGTGTGCCCTGGGAGCCACAGGGCTCTGCCAGGCTGATCTTGCCTTAGGAGAGTGGGCATGTGGGAGACCCTGGCTTGTAGGAGAGGCTGGGGTTTTGAGCCAGTACAGGGCCATTGGGGTCCTCAGTAGTGAAGCAACTTCTCCTGGTCTTGCGATGGTCATCAGCCAGGACCCTGGGCTCAGGACATGGCTCTGGCCCTGAATTGCACTGGCTGCCTGCAGGCAGACCACAGTAGGCAGCTCGGCTTTGCCAGGCAGCTGCACCTCGCTGAGAACCTGCTCCAAGCACTGCCAGCACAATGCTCAGATGCCTCTCCAGGTGTGGGTGTGCGTGCGGGAAGGGGCTGCATGTTGCTCACCAAGGAGAGGCTCCTTCCCTTGGGGCAATGCTGCCCTGAGGCTGCCCATGGCTGTCTGGGGCCCTGGGCCTGAGCTTGGCCAGCAGGCACAGCCTGCTTCTCACAAAGCTTTATGAACAAGGGGTGGGGAGCATCCATCTTTCATCTCTTTTTGTATGAACTGCTCCATACCATCTCATTAAAAAGAATATATATGGCATATTTTAAATAGACATTTAAGCTTTATCGTGTCGTGCTTGGTGCTCATCGTGGCCCTACAGAAACCCCTCTCCCTGCTGAACCCATGGGGACGGGCACAGGTGGAGGCCATAGGAAGGAGACAGCGTGCCCAGATGCCCACAGGTGTGCTCCAGGGAGTGATAGGGTCAGGGGGTGCTGCCCCTCATAGCGCCGGGTCTTTTGGGGGACGTGGTGGCTGGGTTTGCTAAACCAGAGGCAGTAAAGAGGAGAGGATCGTTCACTGGGAGTGGATCAATCTCTGGAGGTGGATACGTTTTCCCTCCTGAATATCCAGTGACCTTATCAGAGTCAGGCACAGCGAAGGAAGTGAGCGCAGAGGGAAAAGGGGCTCTGTCGGGATGCAGAGCTCAGGCAGTCCCCAGGGCTCAGAGCTGCTGCCCCCAGCACTGCTGCCCTTGCTGTCAGAAGTGATTAATGGCCCCAGCACCGTTCCACTTGGAGAAGACGTGTGCGCATGCACTTGGCTGATTTCCAGCGCATTAATCCACAGCAAACACACCCTCATGAACAGACCTGTACTGGAGGGGGAATTATGTCCAGCTCTCCACTCCTTCAGCCACCAGCTGGCAGAAGCAAGGAGAGCTGAGGACAGAGGCAGCTGTGTAGCACCACACTGACCTGGCTCAACTCACAGCTGAGGATCTCCAAGGTCCTGTCCACCCCTGTAAGCAAACTGCAGGCATTGGGCTTTTTAAAATTAAAATTCAAAAGGAGGAAATTCCCTGAGTGCCTCTACCACTTCTGGATGGTGTGGCTGACACCCCAGCTTGAGTCACACTGCTGTGGGCCAACAGGTACAGCCAGGCAGGGCTGATTTCACACACAGAAAAACAGGAAAATCAGCCCAACAGCACATCAGCTGCTTGCAGTCCGAGAAGAGCTCACTCAGAGACCCAGCTGTCCCGCAGGGGCTCACCTCACAGGGATGATGGGCTTGATCCAACAGAGCCCAGCCCCAGCCAGCCACAAGGCCAACCTCCAGAGTTGTGTGCAGGTTCAGCACGGCTGCAGACGAACACAGAAGGTGTCTCTCCTGGGTCTGGTTTGGGTGTAATTTGCCTCTGTTAGGGAAACACATCAGTGCTCTGGGAACCCAGCCAGGCATATGATTTTCTCATCTCATTTGCAACTGGAGCAGCTCAGCTTTTATGCCAGCTGCTAAGAGCCTCCGTGCCCAGTTGCTCTGTGCCAGAGCTGAAGCTGCTAAAAAAAAAATGAGATCAACTTGAAACGTTGCTGCAAACATCTCTGAGCTCAGAGGCAGCAGCAGCTCCGGTGTTCCGCTACAAGTGTTAACAGAGGAGAGAGCAGTGAAGTGAAGCTCTCCGAGGTGGCTCTGGAGTGCCAGAACTGAGCTGAGCAGGCGCAGCGCTGCAGGTGCACGCAGGATAGCCTGGTAAGCTCACAGACCCCAGGCCTCCTTCCTGGGGGAGAACAAGGTCCTCAGGTGATGCTGGGCAAAGGATTCCCTCGTGTTCTCTTTCTGTGCTGCCGTAGTGCTCGATGATGACCATGGTGACACACTCAATGTTGCCACGGGGCTGCTATGCCTCCTCCATATATAGCAGTTTACACCTTGGGATCTTCTCCAAGGAGCTGCTTTTTTAAGGGACTGTCTGAAAGCATTATCAGCTGGTGCTCAGCATTTCTGGAAATCAGCCTTGAGAAGTGAGGCTGGAGCACTCCAAGCAAACATAGAAGTGCCGACCAGCAGGAGAGTTTGGCTCAGTGCTTGATGGCACACAGCAGGCGAGAGAAAAAAAAGAGAGGGAACTCGGCTTTGCTAATAGCTTCAACCAAAACAAACTCAGCTCCTTCATACTAATCACACACCAGATTTATTTCCAGCTGCTTTTAAAAAGTTAGGCAGCGGCCCTAGAGGTTCACCTTGATTGCAGCACTTCAATCTGTACCCACGACCTTGGTGACGTTGGCAAAGAACGAAGAGATTTTAGAGGGAGGACCAAGCACAGCCCCAGCCACGTGCAGAGGCAGCAGGGTGCAAAGCTTCAGAGCGCCCAGGCAGCTTTTAAGTATCATTCCAATGTCTGAAAACACAATAAACCCAACTCACATTTGCATGCAGTAGCTCTTTTTAGTGTAACTTGTGTAATCTAATGCTGGAGTTCTCTGTGCTCCCTGCATTTGCTTTGCATTTGAAAAAAAAAAAATCCATCCTGAGCCATCTAGCTGACATGGGTTATTATTTACTGGCGCTGGCTCTCTTACAAGGCGTGTATCTGAAGAATGGGAACTGATAAACAGCACAGCTGTAGGTGCCCAGACTGAGTCTGAACCAACACGGGAGGAGGAGGTGCATCTCACTGAGGCGGCTCACAGATGTTTGCTGACAGCTGTGCAGCAGAGATGAAGGAGCAGCAGGCTCTGTTCCAGGCATGGAGCTGCTCTGGTCGGCCGCAGCCCTGCTTAATGCGACTCCATCCCACCCCACCAGCCCATGTCTGCTTAGCAGGAGGAGACACCCATCCCCTGCGTGGGTAAGAGCTAGGAAGCATTTCCTCCACACCAGGAATTCCAATCCAGCCTTCCTAGAGAGCCCTTCCAAGCTGAAAAACCCACACCAGCCAAGGACTCCAGCACCCATCCTCCTCCTGCCCAGCTCCCCTTCTTCTGACTCCCCATCCTTCCCACCCCTTTTCCATCCCACAAGCTCTCACCACCTTCGACCTCCCACTGCTGCCCCAAACCACCAACCCCGCTCCCTCCACCCAGTTTGGCTCTTGGCCAGTTTGTTCCAGCCCCTTGTCTGCCAGTTCAAGGGGCACAGAGTGATGGAGGGGGGCTGGGAAGAAAGCCGCCGTGATTCTGAAGTGTCACACCCAGCCCAGAAGGACCCAAGACAGACAGACAACATTCCATTTGGTTCTTTTATTAGCAGAAGTTAAGAATACAGCAAGTAGTAAGATCCCATCTTATATGGAACCATCACCAGAGTCCCCAACCATCAAAACCCTAGAATGTGCTTCATTGCTTTCAACAGTAAGCAATTTGTAAAAAGAAATATACTGAACAAGGCCACTATTTAATGGGGAAGGAAAGAAGCTGTAGGTCCTAACTATTCTATGGCAATAACCTGCACACAGAGCAAGCAAGCCTCTGACTGCTGAGAGTAAGGCATTCAGGTGCCAACCTGGGAAGAGTTCTCAGCAAGAGCTACAGAAAAGTGCACAGCTAGGTTGCTTTTATTGGAACACACAAACTTCTTGAAGGGAGAGACTGACCGGGTAAGAATAGCAGGTGAGTACTGTGTTTCTGTAGTAGTTCTGTGCTGTGTAGGACCAGGTTACAATCACCCTTCAAGGAGCGAACGTGGGATGATGCAGGATGGAGACTGCCACTCCTGCTGGTTCTGGTACAGAGGCATCCCAAAGCACCCTTCAGATAAGTCTGATGCTGATATGTTCTATTCTTTCCTCAGCCACCAGCCTACTTCCTGCTAGGCACCTCTTTGTCGGGGTGCCGGTGCTGCGAGCCCTTACACCCACTTAATACTGCTTTGTTTCATTTCACTACCACACAGCCCCACGATAAGCTTCCTCTGGGCCCACTGGCATCCAGCGTAGCGACCCTACTGAGAACACGTCCCCCTAGGCTCACAGAGGGCTGCAGCAGCACCTCCTCCTGCAGCTGGCCCTGCACAGGGCTTTACAAAGACTCCAGCCCAGTGGTGAAGCCTCACTACCCAGCCAACTTTAGGAAGGCTCTCTGCTTCCATCTGACTCCAGCAGACAAAGCAACTTCCCAAAACACACTTGGTGACACTCAGCATGCTGGGACATCTTCACAATCCACATTTTTTTCCCTTGAAGGATGAAAATTAAAACTTGCAGAAGCCAAAAAACAAAACAAAACAAGACAAAAAAACCAAAACAAAACAAAAAAAAAAACCCAAGAAAACTACAAAACCAACCTTCTACCTTCCTTCTTTGTGAACTACAGCATTTTATGAGCTGTTGAATTCATCTGTTGGAGGTAATGGCTCTGAATTTCCAACTAAACACTCCAAGCAGTGCTTGTGCCATAACAAACAAAGCGTTCAGGTTTCATCTTACAACTCCAAAGATTCTCCTCCAGTCTGGCTTCTGCCTGGGCTCCAGAGATCAAGCTACATCAATTAAGCAAGAGAAGAGTATATGCCTTCCTTTATACAGGAGCTGTGTCTGCTCCACAGCAATTCAGCTGAACTCTTAGTTTCAGGTTTAAGAAATACCAGCAGTCCCATTACTAAAGCACAGATGGGAAGCAGACCTAAGGAAAAAGAAAAAATATAAAATAAAATGGAGCTGCAGTGGGTCAAGTGTGG